TGGATTAAAATAACTTGAGCCAATACTTATTAGTAATAGGTATTGCGTCATTAATTTTGGTTTTTCTAAAAGGTTTAATAGGCAGGGACATCTGGTCCCTGCCTATTATATTAGTCCAGATATCTATGAATATTTTCCTCTTCCTCTGGTTGTAACTCAAAGAAAAATATAGTAAAGGCAGTTTTCAAGTGTTTGAGAAATATATTTGTCTTCTCGTCATCAGTGCGTGTCCAATGTTCGTTACTCATTTTCATAGGTGGTATATGTTGTAGTCGTAACAATTTTCTGGTAGCCTTCCAAAGGGTGTAATTTGTGACTTCTAATGGCGATAAATCTCTCAAATATTTTGCAGTTGATATACTTTAAGATCACTTAGTATTTTTTAAAGTCTTTTGCTCATTTGTTAAATGATTCTTTATTGGTTGGTGTTCGATTATTTTCCCACGTATTCCCAAGTTTTCTCTTTTCTCCAATTTTTTGTGGACTGGCCTCGGGATAGAACTCCTTGTTAGGTTTATTATTGGTTGGTGAGGTAGATTTAGCACGCTTTCTATATATATATATATATATATATATATGTAGTGAACTGTTCCACAGCAGTGTCTAGATCACTTTCTGTCTTTAGAGATAAGTTTATGTTTAAGTTATTAGTAATGGTTTCTTTTGTCCAATTCGTTTTTGATAAATAAAGCGTAGGTCTAGGTAAATAAATTGTTTCAGAAAACAGAGTGAGAAATACTGGCGAGTGATTGGATGTTAAGTCGAAGCATGATTTAGTTGTTAGGTGATCATCTGCTGTACCTTTGGTTATACAAAAATCAAGGCGATCTGGGATTTTTTTTCTGTCTTTTGGCTAATATGTAGGCTCACCTGTAGAATAACTTTTAAGGTTTTTATTTTTTTTTTTTTTGGCATAGACTTTTATTAATTCAGCCAGACTCAACATGGTAAAAAAATAGTTGTCTGAGTTTATACTAATAAATATACAAAGCAAAGAACAGGTAAACAGGGTCACTCTCTTCTCGCCTAGGGGCCATCAAGGTATTTTTTTAAGACATACAACACTAGGCCGCGGTAAGAGGAGAATTTGACAGTTGGGTTAGAAACAAAGGTTACGTTATTAACTAATGCATAATTATTTACATGGTTATTTTACTATCCTTTAAAAACATAACTAAGGAATCATACACTGCTCTCAAGTCTAGTGATAATAAGTACTGAAGGTTCCAAGAGGCTAATATATTGTATTTATGTAAGTTATTTATTAATCTGGCTGAAATTATAGTATTTCTGGGGTAACTGAAAAATATATGATCTAGGTTTCCTTCTTCTGTACAAAATTCACATCAAAACTTTTGAGGTTATTAATATTAATTTCCTGATGTAATTGTCTGCCACGTGGGTTTATCAATATAGAGCCTTAAAAAGGATATTTCGCATTATAATCACCACTGGCTAGGCACCTTAATCTAAGTGATTTAAAAAATCACAAAATTTATTTGTTTTCATTGTGTGCTTGGGAGGACAGTATAATGATGATATAGTGATTGATCCACTCCAGTATTCAATTACTATATTTGTGGCCTAGAGGTGCGGTATTTTAGTTGCCTCTAGTTCGTAATGTTTTATACTGCTCTTGATAATTATGGCGGAACCTCCGTGTGCAGTATCATCAGGATGATTTGTGGTATATAATTTATAATTTGGCATTTTCTAGTAACTTTTACCTGTAAAGGTAAATATATTAGTATCAGTATTTGGTATTGGTATTTAGTATTACTTGTCTAATTCCTTAGCAAAACCAAAAAAACTCATTAAAATATATATATATATATATATATATATATATATATATATATATATATATATAATATATATATATATATCGGACCCTCAGTGCAAGACTGCAGTAACTCAAAATTTTATGAAAATGAAGTAATCATGAAATTCGATTGTAATCATGCATATCTGTCCCCTGTAAAAGCTTAGTAACTTTCAAATGCAGTTTAATTATTTTGCGTTTTTTTACACAAGTTCCGTGCAAAACTGTTGTTATTCAAATGTAGCAGACTTACAACAATTTTGCACGGAACATTGTAATGGTTTCGATAATCAGCAATGAAAGGCACGAAAAAAGTAAGATATTTATTATTTTAATATATATCTGTGGTGTTTAATTTTAATACACAGCGTGTCTACGTAATCCATTAACGGCCGAGAAAATAAACAAAGATTTACGAGGCCAATCTATATGTGTGTACTTTGTGTAACATTTTATTTTCCATAAAATGTGTGCGATGTCGTTTGACTATTTATTTATTAGATTGGATTAAAAACATATAAATTAAGGCTAATTATTTACAGTCAAAAATTATTTTTTCTTATAAAAGGAAAAACAAAAACTTATGTAATAACAATACTGACAGGTTAAAAATATCTATTCTAAGAAAACTTGTTCTATAAAAACTAAATCCCAAATTGTATTAAATCTTCATGTAACCTTCAGGTGCGATTGCCTTATCATATTGTCCCCCGTAATTCCCAACTTTTACTAACTAAGTGAATTTCAATTCTTTTCTTAATCATTGCACTCAAGGTAGCCTGATTTGCATATTGTTATTGTAGTCCTTTTGTTTTAAATTTAAATAAAAATATTGAAAGCTTTACTAATAATTTTTCTACCTTGTTATGACACTGCCGTTACAAAGCGAAGGAATTGTGGCTATCAGAAACATCTGCAGAGATAAAAATATTAAATTGCCGCTAGCTATAAGCCGTTTTATTAGGTACCTATTTATTCTAGGTAGCTATCTGATTTCTTGGAATGTACTAAATGTAAAGTTTAATACCATACTAAACCCCAATTGCTGATGGGGATTATTGTTTCTTTATTTACCCGATGATTTATTGGAATTTATTAAACGTATATACCAGACCCTGGGAATTATTTTCCCTTTATGCAAAAGTGTTGTAAATTTAAAATTCTAATACTAAATATGTAGAGATTAACAATTTTCTCCGTGTAAAAATGTTGTAACTTTAAAATTCCTAATTTTTTAGCAATAATATTATTTTATTTAAATTTCTATTTTTGGTTAATGTAATATATGCTAAAAAGCAAGTAAAATCATAACTAAATGTTAATTTTTCTTAAAGCTTGTGTCTTATTTCACCGATATTAGCACGAAAATAAACAAAATCGTCTTTATCTCGAAACTTACTTATTCTGACTTACTGCAGTCTTGCACTGCGGGTGCGATATGTGCCTGTATAACATATAGCTAGCTGTATATTATATGTGTGAATTACATTTGTAAATCATTATTATCAAATAGGATATTAATATTTAAAAATATGATGAGTATAAGACATATCTTATAAAAGTAATTTCAGTTCGGCTAATGGATTAAGTCCACAATAAAAGAAAACTGACAGCACACATGTTACTTATGTACCGATTTTCGAAAAGATGGCTTTAACAGAAAGTAAAACAAAATCGTAAATAAAAGGTCAGTTTTTCTCAATCCTCTTACGTTGACCATCAGAGGACTCACAGACAGAAAAAGAAGACTGAAAACTAAAGCTAAAATTAGATTATTAAACAGCATCATTCTACTGATACTGACATATGTATCTCTCATATGGGACCACACCTGCAACATTACAAAGAAGAGGATTCAAGCAGTTCATAACAACTGCCTAAGAGAAGTCGTCAACGTTCCAAGATATGTAGCAGAACGCTTTATATTCAAGGAATAACATCAGGTCAGAGTGATAGAAATTATGAAGGATAGAGCCAGTACAAAGTTCGCAAAACAGGAAAATTATACTAGTCCCATACAAAGAGATCATGAGATACGACGCTTTCCACCGACGAAAACACAAAAGGCCTAAACAACAAACAACAAATAAAGAAACAAAATGAAAATGAAGCCCAACAAAATAAAAAGTAGGGAGCTAATTTAAAATAAATACTGGAGAGAAAATTAAACAAGGAAATAATTAAAATCACCAGAGAGAAAACAAAAACCCCAGAGAAAAATAAACAAATCAACAGAGAATAATTCGTAACTCTAAATAGTCGACAAACACTAATTTTCTATGAATTTATAAGAATTTTCTATAGACATTCTACAAAAAAAAAACAATGAATTAATATACCCGAACGTAATTCACAAGGGTGAACATATATCATAGGCTGGGTTTAATTAAATCGCTTGCTTGCTTCACTTATATTGAAGGCCCTTGAAATCTTTACCTGTACTGAGACTTTCTTTTGTGTTTCATTTTATGTTAGTTTTAGCATTCTTATTAACTAAGTTGAAATTGCTAGTGTTTTGAGGGTTGTATATAAGCTTTTCCTGTCTATGGATTTATACTTATTAACTAAGTTTAAATCGCTAGTGTTTTGAGGGTTGTACATAAGTTTTCCCTGTCTATGGAATCATACGCCTATCTAAAATATACAAAGTATATACAGTCCCAACCTATGTTCGTTAGAAATCTGTTTGCGAAAATCTTATCAATTAGGTATGGATCTGCTTTTCTTAAAACTGACTTACTATTTCTCTATTACCTTATGTTCATAAGTTTATAACATATGCATTTCTTAACAAATATTATGTTTATATGAGATTAAGCCACAAATTGATTGTAATAAACGTTACATTATTTACTACTGTTTGACGTTACAATTTCCACACTATAAATGGTTTTAAAAAAAGATTGTTTTAACAAATAGTGAAGAGTGGTTTTATAACTGAATGTTGTTTCAAATAACTTCATAATCCCCATTAAGGTGATTTAAAATAGTTTTTCATATATTTGCTTCATTCTATATTAACAACTAATATATTTTAAATTAAGTTTTGTTTTTCCTGGTTTGTTTTTAAACTGTAGATTCCTGCTATCAATTTATTGTAGTAATTTACTTCTGTTTAGAAGATGTATTTGAAAATATGAAAACCTCAACATACTAATAAATTGTTTTCGATTTTCAGAATTCCAATAACCGTCAACTGCTCAATTCTCGCACCGTCGAGAGATAGAAGAGATTTTAAAGGCAGTCTTCAGTTAAGAGAGAAACTGTTCAAAATAACAGGAAATGCCGATTTGATGGGCCGGTTACCTTCAGCTGTTTCCGTGAAATTTACTCCTGAGGACAATAGCCCTTCCGTAACTTTTGAATACCGAATTAACTCAACAACACTCAACAGATATGAACTATTAGGAAGTATACAACATTCGCATAGATTTACCAGGTTTAATGCCAATTTAAGCACTACGGATGATAAACACCATTATCAAATCGATCTAAAGGTATGGATATTGTAATTAATACGAAAATAAGTTCAACTTTTAAATATATATATATATATATATATATATATATATATATATATATATATAAATAAATATATATATATATATATATATATATATATATATATATATATATATATATATGTATATATATATATATATATATATATATATATATATATATAAGAAATACTGGATATTAGTGACTGTCGATATAAACAAACAACACAGTTTATTAGGGTTGCAGTCAGAATATTGGCCGGGATGTTAAAAAAACACTCTTTTGACTTTTTGTCGAGCTTTCGGAATGGTTTTATTCCTTTTTCAAGACACTGTAAAAGACAATTATGTAAATATTTGAAAAATATCACAATTCTTCAGTGTAACTTACTAGTCGTTGAGATTATTTTTGTAAGCATTTACACTCAACATTTATACCACACATTAAAATATACAATTATGGACATAATACATCATAAAATTTTTAAAATTTGTTGTAAAAATAGTAAAACTTGATTGATGGCATGTTTTACTGGTGTATATTAACTCATACAGAGAATGGAAAGAAAAAACAGTGTAATTAATGTGTAATTAGGTGTAATTGATGTTATCATTCTTTACAAGAAATACTGGAGGCCCTTCTTAGGTGAATATACTTTGTCTGTCTTAATGGTATGCAACATATTATACAGAGGTGTAATTTTTGTACTGGTAAATATTTATTTTATTTTTAGTGTTTTTCTAGTAAATAACAATAAATGTTACTTAATTTGTCTATATCGGACTTTTTGTTGATGCAAGATGTGCTAGATTTTATGAAACACATTTCCAAAAAAACACGTTTTGAATGGTTCTTTTCTTTTGCCAAAATACAGGAATCATCGAAATTGAATTCATGTTTTAGAGTTAGTGCATGTTCTGTCAATGCACATGCATTGATTTTTTTGGTTTTTATATCACTGCGATGTGATATCACCCTGCTGTGAAAATTACGAGATGATTCTCCTATGTAAATTTTATTACAGTTACTACACGGTATAGAATAAACAACATTCGATGACTCCTGTATTGTGAAAGGATCTTTTGTTTTTGTGTAAAGCTTCGATACTGTTTTCACATTTTTGGTTGTAATTTTTAAGCCACTAACATTTTTAAAGATGTTCATTAGCTTAGGTGTCAAAAATGGAATGTAGGGTAGGCAACCATAAGTTATTTTAGATGGTAATATTGATGCGTTATGTGTCAATGTCAATTGTCGGATCTCATTGTTATGAAAATTTTGGTTGACAGAAACTTGTGAAGGAAAAGGAGAACCGAAAATGAGTTTATTTAACAGCCCTATGGGATAAGAAATCTCTTGTAGTATGGATCTCAACTTTTTTGCTAAAGACGGAGTGGTATCGTAAACCTTGTTTCAGTAACCGTTTCATAAACTTTTATTCTCAACATCCATCTAAGATGAAAACAAATTTGGTTTTGGCTTTAAAAACTAGGGTTATCAATTTGTCACACATAGAATTCAGAGACAAGGGACTATTTGTCCATTTTAATAAACAAGAAGCCATTTCTTTTTCGCCACGAGCTGCTTTACTTTTATCATGCAGTGTACTATTGTGTAGAGTTGAAGGAATCATAAATCGTAAAATTAAATGTCCATAATTTTCTCTTATAAAAACTGATGCTGTTTGTAATCAAAGACGTATGTAAGCACATCTGGAGCTCACAAGTCAAAACTTTATATCTCGGATTATCCACAAAAAGTTTAATATCTTGATTTTTTAAATCACATCTCTTTTTTAACTCTGCAAGATGCGCTTTTTTATAACTGTTACATTTCTTTGCTCTAGGTTTAGTTTATTCGTGAGCCTAGTACTAGATGTATTACAAACGTCACGTGTTTGTATCAGGTAATTTAAAGGAAATATTAAATCGTTTGTTAAACACGTTATAATACAACCACTGTTTCGCAACCAATTTTGAATCAATATTATTTTCAGCACAATAGGTTGTATAAAGGCTGTACCTTGATTTTAATTTTCTCTCTCTGGTATAATGGCTCTCATAGGTAGCTCGTCAATGATGAAATATGATTCTTAACTTTTCAGTAATTTCAGGTAACGATTTATTGCTAGGAGAGTGCTTCCCTCTTAGGTCTGGTTGTATCAGACCTCCTTGTTCAGTCTTTCGTAAAACTTTTACGACCACTTTATTTGAAACCTCCAAAGTATTCAAAAATATAATTTTTCAATCGCCAACATTCTTGTTATTAACAACAAACTGTAAAAGAGACTAGTTTCTTAAGGTTTTCTATATTGTTTATTTCATTTCCTGGGGCGAGCTATAGGTTGACATTACACACGATCTGACAAAATGTCTTTTTATGTCATTGCTGTTATCTTCATTCCTATATCTATCGAAAATTTCTTGTTATTCTTATCTCGTTTTGTGATAATTTATCATAACACTTCTTCCTATATAAACAAGGTGGTTTTATAGATTTGGCTTGACCTACTTTTCCGCTTTTGTTAACATATTCCGTTCCGAACATTGAGTTTTGTTTTCGTAGGTTACACAGCCATTTGCCCGAATGTCGCATTCGTTTTTACCGGCCTGTTTAATACTGGTTTTGTTTTGGATCCGTTAGACTTACTTCTTGTTTTATTAACTCGTGACCTGTTCGTTCATTACTAATTCCTGCCTTTAACTCCTGATAAAATTCATCTTAATTTTTCATTAGTATCACTAGATGTCTCGCTGAGCAAATAATCTTTATCGATATCGGAAATATCATTATCAAAAATCGTCATCTTCTATATATTAAGGATCCTTAAGCTATCCTTGTTAGAATCTATGGAAACCAACAAATTAAAAACACAGATATAATTCTGAATGACCAACTCGGGACAAACAGTTCTCCCCTCCCCAACCTATTTCATTAAAGACGATTTCATTAAAGTGTAAACGCATGATAAAAATAGATCACTTGAGAAAGGCAATCAGCCGAAACAGCTGTAGTGATAAGAGGTAAAATAAATTTTTTTGAAAGTTTGAAAACAAACTTTCAGTGTTTTATTGTTACATATGATATAGTGCTTTATACCTATATGTGGCGAATTAAAAGTTCATTTAACTGCAGTACGAGGATAGATTGATATTAAACTAGCCTTTGATAAATGGCACTACCTAATACAGAATTGGTTTCGGCGTTGACATTTGCCATTCGTGATATGACGTCTGTCAAAATTTTAAGTTTTAGAAACAATTAGTTTGGTTTTTACAGCCGTCAAAAGCAAGCAAATTTTGTGTTTTCGGAGAAATGGAAAAAGTCGAGTATCGTTCGGTGATTAGGTTCCTCCACAAAGAGGATAAAACGTATGTGCAAATCAAAGCCGACCTGGACGAAGTTTATGGTGAGCTTGCACCTTTGTTAGCATCAGTAAAATTTTGGCAAGCTGAATTTCTTCGTAGTCTTACGAGTGTTTTTGATGATGAGCGTCCCGGGAGGTCAAATGAAGTCACCACGCCGGAAATGATCAACAAAGTCCATGACATGAATATACCAGATCGTCGAATTAAGCTCCGCGAGTTAATAGAGACCCTAAAAATTTTCTACGAACACGTACACAAATTCACCATCATTTGGACATTAAAAAGCTATCCGCGCGATGGGTGCTGAGTTTGCAATCGATCAAATGCAAAAACGTGTGACCACTTTGTAAACGCTTTTGGCGATAATACGGCGCGATTTAAAGTTGATGAAACCTGAGTGCATTATTACACACCGAAAACCAAATGACAGTGGCGCAAACGCGGTGAAGGGCCGCCGAAGAAGGCAAAGTGATAATGACTGTTTTCTGGGATGCGAAGGGCATCATCCACATCGACTACTTGGAAAAAGAAAAAACAATCAATAGTGAGTACTACGCAGCATTATTGGATCGATTCGATGCCGAATTGCGTCGAAAACGCGCCGGTTTGGAAAGTAAAAAGGTACTCTTTCACCAAGACAATGCACCAACTCACCGATCGGCCGCCGTCATGGCAAAATTACACGAATTGGACTATGAATTGGTTGAACACCAACCGTATTCCCCAGATCTTGCCGCCAGCGATTTTTTGCTGTTGTTAAACCTAAAAAAATGGCTCGAAAGACGCAGTTTCGAAACAAATGATGAAGTCGTCGCTAAAACTTTGGCCTCTTTCGAAGAGCTCGAGCAAACGTACTATTCGAATGGGATAAAAAAATTTGAACATCGTCTTCCTAAGTGCATCGAGCTAAAAGCGGACTATGTTGAGAAATAAATCGATTTAATTCCAAAAAAATTTGTTTTTTCTATCAAAGGCTAGTTTTATATCAAGCCACCCTCATATAATCCCAATATTGACAAAAATAGACATAGTGCCCTTTACTTCTGGCTTACAGATATATATATATATATATATATATATATATATATATATATATATATATATATATATATATATATATATATATATGAAATGAGGTTGAATGCTCGAATAAATGAACTTTGAAAATAAGGCTATTATCGAGCACAAGTCAATTAAATCTAGCAGCCCAAGTACTTTCGCTTAAAATAGCATCTTCAGGGGCATCTGAAATAAGCCAAGAAAACGTTTTTTTTTTTTTTTTTTTTTTTTTTTAAACGTTTTCTTGGCTTATTTCAGATGCCCCTGAAGATGCTATTTTAAGCGAAAGTACTTGGGCTAGATTTAATTAACTTGTGCTCGATAATAGCCTTATTTTCAAAGTTCATATATATATATATATATATATATATATATATATATATAAATATATATATATATATATATATATATATATATTTATATTTATATATACTTCTATAGAACACTCGCCTATAATATATAATAAATTACGCATCCAATAATATCAGTTAGGTAATATAAAAACTTTGTGATGTCAGATAGATGATAGAATTATTTAAAATATGTTCAATTATTAGGCTTATTACTATAGAATTGTGAAAAAATTAAAACTCTTCTTATACATTAAATTATTATAATTATAAACTCTTTAAATTACTTATATTTTTGTAGATGGATACATCCAACAACGACACCTTTATTGTTCGTGGGATTACCACTTTAGGTGATAAAAAATCTGTCCTGAACATCGAAGCTGAAACGCCTATAATGAAAATGGAACGTCCCAAATTCGGTGCTATCTATACGTGAGTATACGAGATACATTTTTTATTATAATAAATTGTGTTTTACTTAAATTTACGAATAGGTTAATTTATATAAATTAAAAAAAATAAATGAGCTGAATTCTACTCGCGGTTAGTATCGGTGTGTTTTTGGTAAACAGAATATTGAAAACCTTGGGATTGGCATTTCTTTATTACGACGAGAAATGAGAAATAGAAAAGATAAATCAGTTTCCATCTTCAGAGCGAACTAGATACCAGGATATGTCCAATTCAAATGGAATTTAAAAGATTCTAAAGCAGTGTGGTCCAACCTTTTAGACGTTGCAGGCCATATTAAATTTGAAATTAATATGAATGGCGACATAACTCGACTCGTTCAAAAAAATTTAAAAACTAATATACAAGCAAAATATTATCTACAAGTATTTTATTATGTGTAAAGAATTAAATCTTTTAGCAAAAGCCGCTATCGCTTTATATATTATTAAATGGCCAACTATATGGCCTAGGAGACAAATTCGTTAAACTTCCCGTGCTCGAATTGGTATCACTAAAGTGTTGTGATCATTTCGGCCTATCCCAGCCATCGTCAGACACTTGGGCTGATACAAATTCAAACTCGGAAAGTAAAACGAATGTCTCCCAAATCTTCACTACCGTGTAGTTAGCTTATAAAGGCGCCCCCTACATTGAAGGCCGTGAACGAAACGATATGAATAATCGTTTTCTGTATCCTTTATGCTATGCGAAATGTGTAAAGAATTAAATCTTTTAGCGAAAGCCGCTATCGCTTTATATATTATTAAATGGCCAACTATATGGCCTAGGAGACAAATTCGTTAAACTTCCCGTGCTCGAATTGGTATCACTAAAGTGTTATGATCATTTCGGCCTATCCCAGCCATCGTCAGACACTTGGGCTGATAAAAATTCAAACTCGGAAAGTAAAACGAATGTCTCCCAAATCTTCACTACCGTGTAGTTAGCTTATAAAGGCGCCCCCTACATTGAAGGCCGTGAACGAAACGATATGAATAATCGTTTTCTGTATCCTTTATGCTATGCGAAATGTGTAAAGAATTAAATCTTTTAGCGAAAGCCGCTATCGCTTTATATATTATTAAATGGCCAACTATATGGCCTAGGAGACAAATTCGTTAAACTTCCCGTGCTCGAATTGGTATCACTAAAGTGTTATGATCATTTCGGCCTATCCCAGCCATCGTCAGACACTTGGGCTGATACAAATTCAAACTCGGAAAGTAAAACGAATGTCTCCCAAATCTTCACTACCGTGTAGTTAGCTTATAAAGGCGCCCCCTACATTGAAGGCCGTGAACGAAACGATATGAATAATCGTTTTCTGTATCCTTTATGCTATGCGAAATGTGTAAAGAATTAAATCTTTTAGCGAAAGCCGCTATCGCTTTATATATTATTAAATGGCCAACTATATGGCCTAGGAGACAAATTCGTTAAACTTCCCGTGCTCGAATTGGTATCACTAAAGTGTTATGATCATTTCGGCCTATCCCAGCCATCGTCAGACACTTGGGCTGATACAAATTCAAACTCGGAAAGTAAAACGAATGTCTCCCAAATCTTCACTACCGTGTAGTTAGCTTATAAAGGCGCCCCCTACATTGAAGGCCGTGAACGAAACGATATGAATAATCGTTTTCTGTATCCTTTATGCTATGCGAAATGTGTAAAGAATTAAATCTTTTAGCGAAAGCCGCTATCGCTTTATATATTATTAAATGGCCAACTATATGGCCTAGGAGACAAATTCGTTAAACTTCCCGTGCTCGAATTGGTATCACTAAAGTGTTATGATCATTTCGGCCTATCCCAGCCATCGTCAGACACTTGGGCTGATACAAATTCAAACTCGGAAAGTAAAACGAATGTCTCCCAAATCTTCACTACCGTGTAGTTAGCTTATAAAGGCGCCCCCTACATTGAAGGCCGTGAACGAAACGATATGAATAATCGTTTTCTGTATCCTTTATGCTATGCGAAATGTGTAAAGAATTAAATCTTTTAGCGAAAGCCGCTATCGCTTTATATATTATTAAATGGCCAACTATATGGCCTAGGAGACAAATTCGTTAAACTTTAAATTCGAAGATTTGGGAGACATTCGTTTTACTTTCCGAGTTTGAATTTGTATCAGCCCAAGTGTCTGACGATGGCTGGGATAGGCCGAAATGATCATAACACTTTAGTGATACCAATTCGAGCACGGGAAGTTTAACGAATTTGTCTCCTAGGCCATATAGTTGGCCATTTAATAATATATAAAGCGATAGCGGCTTTCGCTAAAAGATTTAATTCTTTACACATTTCGCATAGCATAAAGGATACAGAAAACGATTATTCATATCGTTTCGTTCACGGCCTTCAAAGTAGGGGGCGCCTTTATAAGCTAACTACACGGTAGTGAAGATTTGGGAGACATTCGTTTTACTTTCCGAGTTTGAATTTGTATCAGCCCAAGTGTCTGACGATGGCTGGGATAGGCCGAAATGATCATAACACTTTAGTGATACCAATTCGAGCACGGGAAGTTTAACGAATTTGTCTCCTAGGCCATATAGTTGGCCATTTAATAATATATAAAGCGATAGCGGCTTTCGCTAAAAGATTTAATTCTTTACACATTTCGCATAGCATAAAGGATACAGAAAACGATTATTCATATCGTTTCGTTCACGGCCTTCAATGTAGGGGGCGCCTTTATAAGCTAACTACACGGTAGTGAAGATTTGGGAGACATTCGTTTTACTTTCCGAGTTTGAATTTGTATCAGCCCAAGTGTCTGACGATGGCTGGGATAGGCCGAAATGATCATAACACTTTAGTGATACCAATTCGAGCACGGGAAGTTTAACGAATTTGTCTCCTAGGCCATATAGTTGGCCATTTAATAATATATAAAGCGATAGCGGCTTTAGCTAAAAGATTTAATTCTTTACACATTTCGCATAGCATAAAGGATACAGAAAACGATTATTCATATCGTTTCGTTCACGGCCTTCAATGTAGGGGGCGCCTTTATAAGCTAACTACACGGTAGTGAAGATTTGGGAGACATTCGTTTTACTTTCCGAGTTTGAATTTGTATCAGCCCAAGTGTCTGACGATGGCTGGGATAGGCCGAAATGATCATAACACTTTAGTGATACCAATTCGAGCACGGGAAGTTTAACGAATTTGTCTCCTAGGCCATATAGTTGGCCATTTAATAATATTTTATTATGGTTTATAAATTACATGCTATGTTTAAAATTTAATATAAACTAAAAAAATCAATGCTATATTTGAGGCACGGGTTTATCCTCTACTAACTTTTGCACATCTATATCTATGCTGGTCATAGTGAGTCTAATACCCGCTTCCAGGGAATCATTTTCCATGCGATTACGTGTTTTAGATTTAACATGCTTTAAAACAGAAAATATACTTTCATATACGTACTAGTTTCAACGCAAAGTTACGAAGTGTAGGAAAACGATCCTTGGAGCCTAACTTCTAAAAGGTACTAATGTCTTCATTTTTCTTTACTTGAAAAATAGGAAATGGGCTGTAAGTTCGTACATCTCTAATTGGTATTTTGCTGGTTGATTCTGGATATTGACTCCTATTGGAGTGTTAAAAAGCTCACAATCGGGTTTATGTGCATCAAATTCCGAAAACCTTCCATCGAATTCTTTTTTTATTTCTGTAAAAACTTTTGCAAATCTCGAGAAATTGACTATGGTTTCTTTTTGATTTATTTCGAAACACGCAGGAAAATGTGTGATGTCGTTATTTTTATGTAGTTCTCGAAAAAATCAAGTATTTTGCGAAACGTCTCAATTTGACCAAACTACTGTGATACTGTCTTATTTTTCGCCTGGAGTTGTAAGTTAAATATATTCAAGTAAGAGGTAATGTCTGTTAGAAATGCTAGTTCATGAAGAAATGTTTTGTTCTCAAGCTTTGTTATAAATACGTTCGCGTTAATGACAATTTCCGTTTCAAAAACCAGTAAGATCTCTTTTCTTAATGAAAAAAATTCTAAGGCATTTACCATCACTCAACCAGCGTATCTCTGAATGTAGGGGGACGTCCTTATATTTAGTATTTAATTTCTTTAAGAAAGAGATAAATTTCTGGTATTGCTGGGCTCTGTTTCCTTCTTTTAAGCTATTTACTACCTGCAATACAGTTTTTAGTATCGTTGATTTCAATTATCATTCTGCAAAGAGCATTTTGATGGATATTGCGATGAAACATACCACAGTTAACATTGTTTTTGCTCCTTCGGTGCAAACGCAAGATCACTTTTAAAAACCGCCTATATTTTTCACAGCGTCACTTAGTGCTTCCAATATATTTATACCTTTGGTCCCGCCTTCCATGTATTGCAATTTTAGAAGTTCCTCAGTTACACAAAAATCTTCACTGATGCATCTAACAGAAATCAATAGCTGATTTTTGTAAGTAATATCAACAGATTTGTCCAGGGCTAAGGAGTAGTACAAACAATCACGAAGTGTGTCTTCCATTTTTTTTAAATACATGAGTATTCAGCTCATCAACTATTCTAGATACACTTTGATGCGAAACTGTAATACATTCAAAATTTTTGGCTGTTTTTTCATCTAGCGTAATTTTAACGACATACTGCTTGATCATTTCTTCATCTCTAAATGCTTTTTTACTATTGATAAGCTGTAAACATACTTCATATGATGCTGCTAAGCTTGATGATTAAACAGCTGTCGGTTCTGTAAATCAAGATTTCTGTTTATTCAATTTAGCATTAAGTTCTTTTACAAGAGTATTGCGAGCTTCACCTTGATATTTATCGTATTTTGTTTTGTACTGGGTTGTATAATGCCTACCTAATGCAGATCATAATCACTAATTAGCTTGATTATTTATCACATTTTATTATTTAGCCTTCTTCATCGTCCTTGTTAATAATTGTCGCTGCAAGGAATACAATTCCTTGTTTATACAATGAATAT